GACACCAGCAAATGGAACCCATATTTTTTTTTTAAAGATTTTATTTGTTTGAGAGAGAGACAGAGATAGTGACAGAGATAGTGAGAGAGCACAGAGCAGGGAGGAGAGGGAGAAGCAGGCTCCCCACTGAGCAGGGGGCCCGATTGATGGGGGTGGGGAGCTCGATCCCAGGACCCCAGGATCATGACCTGAGCTGAAGGCAGATGCTTTACCAACTGAGCCACCCAGGTGCCCCTGGAGCCCAGATTTTAAGAGAAAATCAGATTATATGTTTTGGGAGCTCCTCACACTCAGTTTTTTAATATCAATTTAAAAAAACATAAAAACAAATATTTTTAAAACCCTCATCTATACTTCTCTATGGTTTCATACAGAATTATTCCTACCCAAGATTACCACTTTCTGAAGGATTTCAACAGTTAATTTTTTCTGGTGGCTTTATCTAGTGTAGTAACCTGAGAATTCATTCACTCATTTACTCGGCACCTACTATGTGCCAGGTACTGTTCTAGGCAATTAGGATACTTCAGTGAACACAAGAGACAAAGATGCTTGCCGTTGAGGAGGTTATATTCTAAGAGAGGTAGACAGATCAGAAGCTCTAATCAGAACTTATACAGAAGAGTAAAAGATGGTAAGTGCCATGGAGAAGGAAAGAAGAGAGGAGAATGAAGAGTGCCAATCGAGACAGGGAGGGAGTTATGATTAAATTTCACACAGAGAGGAGTGCCTGGGTGGCTCAGTCGTTAAGCGTCTGCTTTCGGCTCAGATCATGATCCCAGGGTCCTGGGATTGAGCCCTGCATCGGGCTCCCTGCTCAGTGGGGAGCCTGCTTCTCCCTCTCCTACTCCCCCTGCTTGTGTTCCCTCTCTCACTACGTCTCTGTCAAATAAATAATCTTTAAAAAAAAAAATTTCACACAGAGATCAAGGTTGGCTGTTGAGAAAGTGATGCTTGAGCAGAAACAGAGCTCATTTAATGTTGGGACCATGCAACATGCTGGCGAAGCCTGAGAACAGAAGAGTCTGGGAGCAGCCAGAAGATTCCATCAACAGGATTTGCTATGAATCCATCAACAGGGTTGGACACAAAATTTAGGAAGAGCGACCAGAAAGCTCTCCAAGATTTGAGACTTTGCAAGCAAACCTCAGTGTGATGAAAGAAGGAAACTGCACAGGAGGTCCTTCACGGTCAGGCCTTCGAACGGCCTTAACCAAAGCTGGAAAACACAGCAAGTGACCAAGTGAAACGGTCATCCCTGTCTCCTTTTGGACAATGGATGAAAACAACGCTTGGTGTTAGAAAAATCAGAAAAAATGTTGCTGCTCACCAAGAAAACCTTTTCTGCAAAGGGACTGCACACGAACAGCCCCATGTCTGGAAGCTCCCTGGGCAATAATAATCTGGGGCAATCACAGGCTGCACCTCATCTGTCTTCCTTTCCTCGGGGACCATTCCTCTGCCCTGCCTCACGTCCAGTGTCTTAAAAACCAACTTGGGTTTTTCATATATTTTGTCCTCTAGTTATCTCAGGGGTGGGGGCGGGTAAATTCAGTCCCTGTTACTTCACTCGTGTGGTAGCAGAAGGGCAGAGCAATGATTCTTGATGTTGGAGAATTGGAGCTGTAGGCCCTCTGCCTGCCAACCACGGAGGAGACACTCCCCAGTCAGGGGAGCTCTCGAGCCCCCTAACACATGGTTGTTCTTAATGTGTGTGATAGACCGATGGTGGTCCCGTTCCTCCCTGCCCCTGGAGTCACACATACAAGTCCTTGTCGTGGCCTCGTGGTGGGCGGAGTGTATTTCCCCACGCTGGAAAGATGGCGCTGTCCTGGGACTTGCGGCCTGACAAAGGCTGAGGTTTGTGATGCACTTGCTGGCCGGCCTTGGACTTGGAGGTACCGTCTCCCCTTGGTGAAGTGAGCTTCTCCACTCAGCCCCCGACGGGCAGTTCCTACAGAAGGCTGTGATGGCTGTTTCAGCTGGAAGCATAGGGGAATCGTCATTCAGAGCAAGTTTGCATTGAGATATTGAGTGTGGCTTGGTCTCAACTGCATTGCATTAAGTAAGTGTGGCTTGGTCTCAACTGCATTGCATTAAGTAAAAGAATTCAAAAGAATTTGGTACTGGTCTGACAGCTCTGGTCACAGCAGTGCTTGAAATTCTAGTAGGATTCAACTTGTCTCATTAACAGGATGAAGGAGCTGAAGCAACACTGAGGAGAGAGACCCTCACTGGGAGGACGAGCAGCTGTGGCATCAAGACCCGGTTAAGAGGGTGAACAGACAAACTACAGACTGTTAGAAAATATTTGCAAACCATGTACCTTACAAAGGACTTGTATCTAGAATATATAAAAAGCTGTGGAAACGCACAGTAAAGAAGGGAACAATTCAGTTAGAAAAGATGTGAACAGACATTTCACCAAAATGGATATACGGACGGCGGACACACATGGAAAGACGTTCAACATTTTAATCTATAAGGGAAATGCCAATTCAAACCATGATGAGATAGGGTCGAAATAAAAGCTAGTGGTAACACCAAATGCTGGCAATGGCATGGAGAAACTGGGTCACTCAGACGTTGCCGGTGGAGAGGCAAAATGATAGGACCACTTTAGAAGAAAATAGCAAATGCTCACAAAGCAAAACATACACTTTGCCACGTGGCCATGGAGTACTACAAAGCAATAAAAAGGAATGACCTCTTGATTTATGCAACCAACTGAACGGTTCTCAAGGGAATTATGCTAAGTGAAAAAAGCCAATCGCATAAGATTATACACTATCTGCTTCCATTTATATAATAAATTTGAAATAACAAAATTATAGAGACGGAGACAAAATTATTTGTTACCAGGGGTTGGGGGGTGGGAGGATACTTTAAAAGACTAGCATGAGGGATCCTTGTAATGGAACAGCTCTAAATCTTGACTGTTGTGTCTCTTGATGGTGGTCACATGGGTGTACACATGTGAAAAACCTGCATAGAACTAAAGACACACATAAGCGAGTGTGTGTAAAACTAGTGATATCTGAATAAAGTCATTGGATTGTACCAATGTCAATTTCCCACTGTGATATTGTGCTTTAGTTATGTGAGTTTGTACTATTGGGGGAAATTTGGTGAAAGTTACATAGGATCTGTGTTTTATTTCTTACAACTGCATATAATCCTACAATTACCTCAAAATATAAAAGTTAAAAAATTTTAATCTTAATATGATCATAGCTAAACAGAAATAAGAAGACAGTAAAAATAAACTACATGAGTTACTTTTATTATGGATGAGGAATTAGTAGCTTTTAAGTTTGTGTCTTTGATATGTGGATGTATTGCTTTCATCATTAATTGATTTGATTTAACACAGGATGAGTTTCAAAGTGGAGATAATGTTGGGATAAAAGGAGGTGAGTCCAGTACTCAGGCTGGGACACTAACTGCCCTCCCCTTGAGGCTCATCATCTTTTCCTTGAAGGCCTTTTATAGACCAAAGAGCAGTTCCTGGTGGAATGATGTGATGTCATCAGTGATTCATGTCAAGGGCTCCAGAATCTTGGGAGCCATTTGATTCCAAAGACCTGGCTACGGTCAGTATTCTTCTCACACTGTTCTGAGGCTGTGCTCTGGGTAAATGTGAGGGGCCTAGATCCCAAGACAGCCAGGAAGTCCACTCTGGGTAAGTGTCACTCATTCCTGTCCTAGACTGAGTATGTAAGGCCACCCAGCTTGGCCTTCATAGAAGGGTGACTGAGGCACAACTCTTGTTGCGCCTGGCCATTCTCCCTTGAGCACTGGTCAGACACGAATCCTAATCCCAAATCCGAAGTGCTCTAGCCTTGGTCAAGGAACAAATCCTACGCAAGTTAAGTCACCATTTCCTCACCTGTAAATCATGTAAGTCATACATCTTAGCTCACAGATCATTACAAGGATTGAATGAGGTCATTCTTTATGCATTGATCAATACTGGAAGTTCAATAGGCAACCAATAACTGTTAGCTATTATTGCCATTTTAATTATTATTAGGTTTCACAAGGAGCAGGTTAAGCAAACAGAAATGGCCTGGTCAGAATCAGGTTGAGTCCCTTCCATTTTTTTCGTACACGGAGAAGACAAGACAGGATCCATCTGGCCTCCACATTAGCTGCCTCAGAGACTGCTCCAAGCCAACAGGACCCAGCAAAGAAGAGTCAGAAGAAAAGGGTGTGCATGGAAGGGAAGGCAGGTGTATGTGATCATTTGGCTTCTACCCACAGTCTCTTAATGATTGAAGTTGACAGAACACCATGGCTCCAACATTACTTCTCCTTCCTCCTCTCAGCTCTCATGTGTTTGGGTCTGCATGGGCAGGGGGAAGGGCTTTCAGGGTGAGACAGGGAGGTCACTATCCTGTGCACTTTTATGGCTATTAAAGACATCTATGACTAGAGAATTTTACATCTGTCTCTATAGAGGTATCCTCCAGGCAGAACAATCCATGGAAAAAGGCACAGGAGAGCAGCTCTTGTCTGGCAAAGAAAGGGAAATAATAATTCCTACCCTCTTTTATAGACAAGTGCAAAGGGGTGATGGTCATTCTCTTATCCCTCCAGATGTCACATGCAAAATTCTCAAGGTGAGTGGGAAAGGAAGAGCCTAGCATTTCCCAGGTGGGTCCTCCCGCCATGATGACACAGGGTCCTTCCTCTCTCCCTACAGCTCCATGGAATAGGAGCCCTCTGGCCTCCAGTTCTGCCTCTTCAGAGGCTGTCCCTGAGCAGAGAGCCAGGAGAATGAGAGGCCAGAAGAGGAGGAGATCGATGGATGTCAAGGCAGGTATGTGTCCTCGCATGTGCCTCAGCTTCCCTGCACAAAGTTTCAACTACTGACCACTTACCATCTTGTCTTCACAAGGCTGAGTCCAGGCCCAGTGTTCAGAGTGAGCTGCATGGCAAGGACTCCACTTCTCAGGTGGGTCACATCCACGCTGACTCAGAATCTTTTGTTTCTGCAGCTGCCCAGGAGAGCAGCGTCCCAGCCTCCAACTCTACCACCTCAGAAGCTATCTCTGAGCTGAGGTCCTGGAAGAAGAGGGGACAGAAGAGGAACATATGGACAGTCAATCATGTTGAGGGAACAAAACTCAGGATGAACAAGAGGAGAAGACCCAGTTACCGTCCTGAAGACCAAGAAGCATTCTACCGACTTCTGGGTGTGTGCTCTCAGCGGATGGAGCGTTCAGGGTCCTGCTGAGTGGGGATCATGTTGGAGGCAGTGGCTCTGGGATCATGCTCAAACCTCCCCCCGGGCTCTAAGCTATAAAGGGTCCGGGGGGCACGGACACAGAGCAACCTTGCTTCTGCTGGGGAGCTGGCAGGTTTTTCCTCTCTGAGACAAGTTCTTAGAGGGAGAGGGAGGAGGCTACAGTGGAGAGTGCTCAACAGTCAAGACATTTCAGAACAAACCAAGGGGTGCATCCTCTGCCCACTGGGATACATTCATGTATTCCCTCCAATTAAGATTTTAGAGATTAGTGATGAAAAGACAACCTAGATCTTGCTGTCTGTACGTTCAAGGTGGGAGGAGACAAAAAACAAACCCATACAGAAATAAGCTGTTCTCAGCCAGTAACAAATGCAGAAAAGTAATGTTGTTCAAAGACAATGATGCCTGGGGACGGAACGTGAAGAAGAAGAGGGGAGCTCTATGAGATGGGATACTCCAAGGACTCTGTCTGAGAAGGGGCCATCAGGACCAGAGGCAGGATTAAGTTGATAGTTCTGGGAACAACACTGATCATGTTGTCCGGTACAGCATTCATTAGCCACATGTAGCTATTAAAACCTGATTTAACTCTTTTAAAATTAAATTTAAAAATTCAGTTTCTCAGTCTCATGAGCCACATTTAAGTGCGCAATAGCCACTCATGGCTAATGGCTCCCATAGTGAACAGTGCAGATCTAGAACACTTTCATCATCACAGAGAGTTCTATTGCAGAGAGCCAGACTGACTGGAGAAGGGTCAAGGAGAATGAAATAACCCTTGACTCCTCCATCCTCCCTGTTGTGCAAGTGTCATTGTCCCAGTCAAGGAGCAAGGGAAAGACAGCACCCACATTCTCAGGTCTCCCCTGGAAAATGGTACCTCCAGGGGACAACTCTAAACCCAGAGTTGGGATTGGGGGTGGGGGGCACAGGTCATTATCTGCAGGAAGCGAGGGGATTCGGGAGAAAGAGGGCAGGACTCCCAGCACCCCCAAGGGCTGCGAACTGACCGCCACAGGCTCAGGGTGCTCAGTTAATGGGAGGCAGCAGGAAGCTTTGCCCGGCCCCAGCATGATAAAGTGACAAGGACAAATGCAGTGTCATAGAGACCCCTGGCCACATCCAAGCTCTGGCTTGAGGCAAACGTGTTAAGCATTGAGAGCCAGGTCACATCTCTGTGATCACGCCCATCACGTGGAAGTTTACAATAGCGAAATCCAAGCCCCACAGATGAAACTCACGACATAGGCCTCTCTGGAAGGAGTGGCCATTGTCACAAATATTAAGACCCACAACCCTCCTGGCAGAAGGGACGCTGTCTCCACTTCCAGGAGACAAAGGAACTTGAGGGAGGCTCCAGTTTTCCTCCTTCCCTCTGGAATGTCCCACAGCCCCCAGAAGGGCTACTCCAAGGCCCTCCTCACTTCTCCCTTCCTTTGCAGAGGATCCCGCGATCCAGAGCTTCTTGGAAGCTGACATTTTCCTCAAAGTATCTGATAAGGTATCTGCAGCACCAAAATGATGAGGGCCCGAAGGGTCCACAGAGTCACCACCCCATGGGGGCAGGAACAGAGAACCAGATTTCTGGCCAGGTGGGAGAAGCCCTAGAGAGACCTGCTCTCAGTGTCAGAAGACACACCGCCCGTGGCCTGCCCTGCCCATGGGCATCTTCTCCTGGTCTCCCATCCGTTCCTCTCCACTTGTCAAAGGGCCTCAGCACAGCCCACCCTGAGGGGTTCCCATCATGGCCGTTGGATGGGGCAGGACCCGTGGCCCGTGCGGGACACTCTCACCCCCTCTAGTGACCCCTCACCTGCCTTCCGTGCCCACACAGTACCTGCTTTCCATGGTGGTGGAGTACTTCGGCCGTGTTGGGCTGCCTGGACACCTGTACAACAGGATCCACTTCTTCCTGGCCCTGTGAGTTCCTCCTTGGGGACTGCTCTCAATTCTGCCCAAACCGCCCCATCCCACAGCCCCACCACCCCATCAGGATGGCTTGGCCATGCCTATGAGCCAGACGGTCTCAAGTAGTTCCTCTTGGCCACAGAGCAGATAAGGCCTTCAGGGGTCACACGGTCATGGGGGAGGGGAAGGCAACGAGTAAGTTCCTAAGATCATGAAAGTAGCCAAGAAACATCACTTGCTGCTCAGAGACTGAGTGACTGGAGGGAGGAAGCCCCAGGGAAGTGGAGGGCAGCCAGAACCTTGGCCTGGGCCAAGCACAGCATGGGCCCCACAGGCTTGGTCCTGAGGACGGTCCTGCTGTCCCTCTGGAGCCAGGCTCCCTGCAGATAGGGCTTCCCCAACCCTCCTTCCTGGATAGACTGCCCTGGGCACTGGGTCCTCCAGTGTGACCTCTGCAAGCTTCCCCTCTTTTCCCACGGCAGCTACATCGCCTCCGACATGGAGGAGGACAACCCCACGTCCAAACGGAGCATCTTCCAGTTCCTGCTGGGCAGGGAGCACTGGCCAGACCTCTACAAGGAGTTCCTGAAGTTGAAGGTGGAGTTCTTCCATGCAATGGGGCACCGAGCCTGGGTCACCCCGGAGTTGTGTGAGGAGGTCTGTTGGGGACGAGGACCAGAGGGAGCACCCGAGTGGTAGGGCTGGGCCCTTCCTCCAGGCGCTTACGTTGCTGTTTCCCTTTCAGATCCAGGCCCAGAACCCGCATCACTGGGTCTGGAGTCGGGTGCGCCAGTGTGCCCCCTAGGTCCCCAGGGAACAGAGCGGGGGCTGCAGGTGGTCCAGGTGCATGCGGGTGCTCTCAGGCTCGGCAGGGTCGGACATCCCCACCCTCTGTGCCCCTGCAGTCACCTCCTGGGCTGGTGGGCATGAAGGGGAAGCAGTACAGCATCCCTCCGTGCATACTAGCATAGTAAGGGTTCTGAGAACTCCCATGATAAAGAAAGTAATTACCTGTGTTTATATCAAAACTCTCCAAATGAATTTGACTGTGGAATCATGAATGCAATACCAGATCCCCAATTTGCATATCAAAATTTTTTTTTACGAACTCTTGGAAATGCTGATTTAAGTAATGAAAACCTCTGTAGGGTTTTGATCTGAGTTGAAAATTTTAAGCAAATAAATGGAAGACACTGAGGTCACCCTTTCTGGAAAGGGGGCTGTTAGCATGGTGGCTCTTGGGAGGAAAGAGAGATTAATTCCAACATGTCATCAAAAGTGGTATGTGATTTGCTCCCACACGAAGCAAGCTTAGGAGCTGGGTCCCTGAAAGGATGTGTCAGTCTCGTCTTGTCACAGACAAGGAGCTCCTCAGGTTCCTGGTCTCTGCAAAAATCAATTTGCTGTGGAAAAAAGGGCAGCAAACACCTGGAGAACTGTGAAAAAGCACATAATAGATGACACACTCATAGAAAACGAATGCTTGACCAGCATCACACTCTTTAGAATATGTTTTCTTTCATTTAAATTTGGTTGCTATATTTGGGTTTACTTGAAGTTGGGGGAGATCTTTGGTGAAACGCAGAAGAAACCCTTTGCCTGGGGAGACAGCTATACCAGAATAATCTTGTGAGCTGAGCCACCCCCGCCTCTTTGCAGGGTGTGACGGAGCCTATTCTGACCCTAGAAAAAAAAAGGTCAAGTGTGCTCTGTGATAAACCAAGTTTGGGATAAAGTTTAATTCATCCACAGACTTCTTATTTGAGGACAAACAACAACTATATATGCCAGAATCTCAAATTCCAAAGAAAACTGCATTTATCGCCACAATAAAAACAAGAGACGAATAGTGGCTACAGGGGCCGCTCTTGGATCTGGCCACTTATACAAGCAATGAGGGCGGCAGCTGACTTCGCCAGGGCTCCTTCCCAACACGCACCTGTGCTGAGGCACTGAGAACTTCCTCACTTGGGAGTTTGCCTTCTGCTCTGATTTCGCTTTCTCTTCTCATAGCTCCCGCCCATCCCCTGCCTCTCCCTGCCCCGACACCAAGCTGCTGCCTCCTTCGCAGGCTCCGGGAGCCACAGAGGGACAGTACTGGGCCTCCAGTTTTCCTCAGACCTGCAGGAAGGAGGGTGCAGGGACAGCCAGGACCATGGCAGCCTGAATAGCACAATGGCTCCCCAACCTTCCAGTGGGTGTCAGCCAGCAAAGGTCCTAACCCCTGAATAACCTGGAAGGGTGTAGTAGTAACATGGAGGGGGGACCAAAGGAGCCGAGAGACCAGAGCAGGAGCCTCTGTGGAGGCAGAGGGAGAGGGGACGGAAAGTCTGGGAAGAGGCCTGGATCACTGAGGAGGAGGAACTTGAAGGAAGAGGCCAAAGAAACAGCTAGAAGATGGTGAGGAAAAGAGGAGGAGACAGGAAGGGGAGAAACACATGAGAGAGGACACAGGATGTGGCCAGCCCATTCGAGGCAATCAGCATCTTGGGGACAGTTGTCCTTGGAGCCTTTCCTGACACTCCGCTAGAAGTGAATGAAGAGACGGGGGGAATTCCAGCCAGCAGACTGGCAGGAGGCACAGAGCTCACTGATGTGTGGATCTAAGGCTGAAAAAGAGGTGGGAACAAAAGGGAGGAATCCTATGCCATGATAGGCTCTAACATCACAGAAATAACCCAACTTTCAAAATGAGAGGAGAAGGGAGGGAAGAAGGGAGGAGGTCATGAATGGATGGCTAGGGGACAGGTGGGGAAGTCCAGAGTGCCAGCTAGGCCAGAAACAAGGCAGTGGAAGCTGAGGTTAAATAAAAAAAAAGAGGGACTGGAAGAGTCCTATGAGGGTATTAGTGTTAAATGCATGTAGAAGAACACAAGCCATCCTGAATGCCAAATAAATGAATATGATAAATTTTAAGAGAGCAAAGAAAACATCAAATACATGGTAAATATAATAGAGTGGAAATACAATATAGAAACAGAATATAAAAAATGAGATTCAACTGAGATCAGTCATATTATTTGTATTCATAAATCTGAACTACTAAAAGATTTTCAGACTGATTCGCAAAGCAAAACCCAGCTCTGTGTGAGATTATCCTTAAATCATTCAGAGGTGCTAACAATAAGGTGAGGGCTCCGGGTACACCATGCAAATGCCCTCAAATGAGAGTAGGGATTATGATCTTGATACCAAGGGAAGGAACATTCAGATGCAAAACCCTTCAGAGACTAGGAAGGACACTTGGGATGGGGTTGAGGGGCAGGATCTGGGGGTAGGTGCCCAGTGTTACAGGCAATTCCACAGGCCTGGGCTGGTCCACTGCAGCTCGATTTGCTCAGTGATGCTCATAGATTTTACAGCTCTCTCGATGGATGGACAGATATACAGATATATTGATATATAGATATGTATAGCCATTCTAGATAGGAAATCTAATTAGTGGGCAATAACTGCAGTTACCAGACAGAAACTGTCTAGCTCTTCACCACTTTTTTCCCATGGAAATGCCTGATTTGCCACAAAACTGCCTGTAACTCCAAGGTTCCCAGGAACCTCACCGTCAAGCATGGACAGAATATCCAGTCTTGTAAAAGGTTGACTCCTTTCAAGAAGCACTACACCCTGTCTATCCCGTGAGGGCTTAACATTTTCTTCTTGAGTCCTCTGGAACTTTCCAGTTGCAAATAATCACAGTACTCACTGTCTGTGACACCTAGTCCTTGCAGCCCCAGAAGGCCAAGAAATAGTTAGGCTACGAGGTTATTTCTCTCCTCACTCAGGCATCTAGTGACCCAGTTCCAGGAAGTTTGGCATAATACACAGCCAACCCACATCGTTCCAGTTACTTAGCAATAAAGACCATGCATTCTTCCTTTAGTCAGTGAGTCCTCTCAGTGTGTTACGGAGAAACCCAAGGCCACTCAGAGGGGGTCACTGCCACTGTGGCCTGAGGTTGGTACCATCCAGATGAGTTGGCGCATGGATTACAGGATTGTCACAAAATCTTGGGAGTGTCAGAGCACACCTGAGGGTTTGATCATGGAAAAGGAAAGTGAACAGCACTGGGAGCTCAAGAGATAGCCAAGGGGCTGGAAATTCTATGAGCAAAATCAGGGGAGACCAAGTGGTGGTGAGTGGTTTTTACGGGACTTGGGGATGGGGCTGAGTTCACACTTGGGTCATTGTGTCCCACTTAACAGCACAGGGTTTGCTCAGGAACCCAAGTAGAAAGGGTGTTGATGAAGCAAAGTAGATGGAAATGTTTAGGGAGCAGAGGACTGAGGAGCCCCTGCAACACTACAGAATCCAGGGGTGGGGGAGCACCTGTCACAGCTGGTGGTAGCTTCCCAGGTGTGCACCAACTGCCCTCCTGCCGGCCTGTGACCAGTAAAGGAGAGCAACGGCCTGGCTGCCTCTTCCACCTCCAGGCTTCCTCTGGGCATCTCTCACTGGCTCCTCCCAGTGGCACACTCTTACCTGGCCCCACATGGGAAACAGGTGAGCAAAGAGAGGAGGAGGTGCTGAAGATACTGAGTTGACATCTGGCCCAGGCAGAGGGCACAGTGAGATGAGCCGAACGAAAATTAACCAGAGAAGCAGAGAGGGAGTTTGGAGCAAGATGACACAAGACAGCACCCACCCCACCCTCTGGGGTTTTGCAGAAATTTCATCAAGTGGGGGTTGGTGCTCATTTCATCTAGATCTTACCAGGCAGAAAGACTGCAGCTAGGGATGCTAATTACAACAGATTTGCTAATGGTTCTTCGATTGTTGAAGAGCTGTGTACATTTACCCACATTTCCAGTTGATGAGGCTATCTTCTTAATCTCTGGAATGGTACACAGTAAGCAAACAAAAGTCTTGATTAAATGAAAAATAGGCACAAATATGAACTCAAGACAAATGAAAGAACATGAGTGGCACTAACTAGCTTCCAAACACTGTCCCTGTGATAAAACCCCCCAGTGACATGATTACCCAGATCATGATCTAGCACATCTGGGTTCTGGAAGCCCATGGACTACAGCTCCCCAAGGCAGCATACCTGAATGTAAGACCAGAGATGGATCCATTAACTACAGAGACAAGGCCACAGATTTCACACCTAAGTATTGGAGTAAAAGCAGTGGAAATTATGAACATGCAGTTATTTATAGATTTTCACTGATTTTATTGAACCTAGTACAAATTTTTTTTCTAAATTTCTTATTTCATTTTATAATGTACCACAGAATAGGAAGAAATATTTTCAGCTAAAAGAGACATTTTAAGATGGTTTTTACATGACCAACAAAGCAGCACACAGACTAACTCAATCTAATTCCAAGAAATTACACAGACGTCTTTGTTTTTCTAAAGATGCACAGAGAAGGGAAGGGTCCACAAACTGGAGCAACGTCCTTCTAATTTATGCTGATCTGCCTCTTAGATCTACTGCACTAAGAGAGGCAATAACGAGCCAGATTCAGGGGTTAGAAGCAGTATGGTCTGAAAGCCCAGGCTTGTTAGGGGTTGTGACGGGAGCAGAGCAGCCTTGGGCCAGCCACCTCCCTCCCTGGGCCTCAGGGGGCTCAGCTGTAGAAGGAGGGGCAGACAGATCATCCAGTGCTGATCTTTTATGCAGCTGCTTGATGACAGAAGGTCCTGCCATCTGGGTAACCCTTACTCCCCATCCCAGCCTCCCTTTCATTCAAGAACAGAACATGGAGCAAAGCCAAGAGGATGGCCAACAGGCAAGTCCATCCTTACCCACAGGCAAAAATTAAGGATATGGTTTTAGGGGCTCTTCTTTCAATTTAGCAAAAAAGACTTTCCCACAGCTTGTGACTAATGAGAAGCAAGCCATGTATTTCAGAGTGTGGGAAACCTGGCTGGCCCTGGGAAGCAGGAAAAGCCAGTCACCTGGGAACCTTTGTAAACCACATGGGTATCTGCAGGGTGGCTGCTAAGTGCTAACAGAGGCCTCCATCCTGGGTACATCCTCTTAGGAGCTGTCCCCCCAACCGCCCCTCTGCTTCCTTCCACTGCTGGTTAAACACTGCAGACACTGGGGGTACAGAGGTGACCAAATCCTGTCCCCTTCCCCATAGCTGAATTGGAGAGATCTCATACAACTAGGCATTTTCTACAAAATGTGGTATGAGGATGGAGGAACCCAGAAGATGAGCTCCCAACCCTATATACAAGAGGCATATTAGTCTGTGTGCTGCCAACTAAGTCTTCCTGGTTTGGATCTCAAATTGGTCCATGGCCTTCCAGCTTCACTCAGCTCCCAGCATCCTCTCCTGACTTTGGTCTACTCCTGTCCTCAGACTGGGCTTTGACATGGCTTTCCTCAGAATCCATGTCACACACACACAGTTCACACACAAATCTATTCCTCTGGCAATTCCTGCATTGGCTCCACATGCTCTGGCTTCTATTCAGAAACCTGGCTCCGAAACTCTGGCCTGTGCCCAGCAGGCACACTGGCCTCCCACCAAAGTGGGTCTCTACACTGATCATCAAGCTGAGCAATGAGAGGCCCCCTCCTCCTTGCTTCCTCTGGGCTGTCAGAAGATCTCTGAGCTGGGATCACCATAAGCTATGAAGTCAGCTGGTTTCTAGACAAAGGGTAAAAAAAGTGGCCTTAAGATCAGGCACCACTGAGAGAAGCTCTGTAGGGCTTAACCCAATGGTCACTCCTGCTAGGGTCTGGCATCCATGCCTCAGAGCTGCCCACAATTTCAGGCCTTCACCTCTTCACAGGACATCTTACTCAAGGGAGGGGCACAGATACCAGCCCCCCTCCCCTCAGGGAGACAATAATCTGAGTATGCATGTGTGTAACTACTATTTAATTATGTCCATCCATGGAAGCACTTATAGCCGTGTAAGTAGAAAAGATGAACGTGGGGAATTATGAGTAAGTTAGGAACCATACTGTGACAGACATGAAGTAACTAGTACTCACCAGCGTCTGGTTCTCCTCCCCTTCTTGGACACATGGAAGAGTAGTCACACGAGGTGGATGTTTGACTTCCTGCCAATAGGCTGTAACTGGAAGTGAAAGCCACTTCTGGGCCAAAACCCTTAGGAGCCGGACGCATTTCTCCAGATCTTCCCTTGTCTTAACTTTGAGGAGGCTGAAATATTCTGGATGGTGAGAGCTACTCTCCAAATTTTTTGAAAACCCATAAATAGCTAGAATTCATTTCTTTGATGATCCTATTCATGTCTATTCAAAAGACTGCCCAGAATACCCTTTGCTCCCTGTCACCTAACCATTAGGTCCAAACTATAAAGACAATGCTATTTCCAGACCATCCACAATCTTTTATTCTGCTCTTTCTCTTAGAAAGCCTGATTTTTGCTTTTGTTGACAACATTCTAATGACTGTTCTCCCTCATACATGAGAATACATAGTGTGCAAGTAATGGTCTCTTAAGTCCTCCTTCAGAGAAAAGAATATAAATTATAAACAACTGAGACTGAAGATAGCAACAGTTGCCCAGATACTGAGTTCTTTAAATCTTGATTCGAATGGAATTTTTGTAATCTACTGTTTTAATTTTTTTCTTTTAGTTTTAATGATAAGAAAAACTAGCTAAGTGTGAAAGGGAAGCACATTTTGCCCTCCCAGGCACCCACATCTTGCCTTTGCTGTACATGCAGGAGCAAGTCCCTGGGGCAAGCATGCAGATGGAATACTGAGTCTAGAGAGAACCCATCGCCTCTAGAGGCGTGCCCTCCTCCCCGCCCCCCTTCCCCTCCGCAGAAGCAAATGTCACATGGGTTTTTGCCAAAATCTCAATGGAAACATTTCTATTTGCTTTGATTTTTACATTTCAAGCTAAATAGCAAAATTCAGGATGTGGACATGTGAAATCACTGAATGGATCTTGCTGTTTCTAGCAGTTTAGGGTCCCACTGGCCATTCAAGAAGCACAGGGCTCATGTCAGGATCTGGACAGCAGGGAGTTTACTTCTTCCTATACGGGAAACCTGAAGCTGGAGGCACCTCTATGTGATTATCTTTCATCATTACTTAGTCTACAAACTCTTGATACAGATATACATTCTCTAAATCTTGGGTGGAAATGGACCATCATTTATTTTTAAATGCAGTTTTTGAGGACCTCTCGATAGTGGAAATTGCGTATTTCTCTACTTGGAGCAGGCTTCACATTGAGCAATTCTTCATTAAGGTATAACTGTCCTCCTGTTGAAGGTGACTGCTCATACTATGAGGATGCCTGGCACTGTCACAGAAAGTACATACTAATTTTAGGCAGGAAAACTGTGACATCTTAGAGGAGATGCTAAAAGCCGTTTTCTTGCTGCAGAAAGTAAAACTTAATGACAGCTTCTTTAAAAACCTTGCAGATTTGAACATAGTCACTTCATCTGAATCACCATAGTTGAAAGACTAAAAATGAATATCCACCCCAGCCCCCATTACTCTATTCTCTGAAATCCCAAACTAAAATAATCATCAAGAGTTTTGAAAACAAACCAAAAAACTTTATTTACAAAAGTAAATTTTAACTCACTTCTATATATCATATAATGTTAATGCTGACAGAAACAGAGCCTCTGGAATATTTAAAACACTTGGATTTTAAAATACACTGAGGTTTGTGCAGCTCATTTCCCCCTAGTTATATTATAAAACTTAGAAATGTTTCTTTAGCTTTGTTGTTGGGTCATTGTTTTTGTACAGAAGTCACGTTTCAGGGTAGGTTTACCACCAGAGCTGATCACATAACCATTGGCTGTGGACTTCCAAGAAGCAAAGGAGCCAATCTTAGCAAAGCTCGCACTGGCATTTTCAGCTGTTTAAATTTGAAGAGGAGTTCAGCAAAGCTTGTGCTCCCTAAAGAAATGGAAATGGGGGGGTGGGTTAGAGTCACACTTCTAAATTCAGCTGTACACCCCTTTCAAGGAAGCTTCAGACACACAATCACATTTAAAGCTGACATTCTTCCCTTTGAAAACAATTCCCCAAAGATAATATTTAAATTATGAATTTCCCAAATGCACTATAAAAATAATCTGATATAAAAATGTAAATGTATCCATTTTGTACCTCAGACAGTAACCTATAACTACATCTGAAACTATTAATATTTAATTACATATTACTTAAATATAATTAATAAATGTGCCTATCTGCTTTCAACTACCATAATCTATATACTCCAGTACATATCTAAAAAAAGAACACAGGCTTAAAATGAGTAACACAGAAGTTAATCTAATGCCTCAACCTCTAAGAAGCAAAGGTTCTCAACTGTGGTCCCAAAGAGATTCCAACATAATTATGTGGAGTACAGCCTGGACATCTGGAGATCTGAAGGCTGCTCAGGTGATTCTGATACACAGTCAAGGTCAAGAACCACTGCTCTAAAGAAATAGGAAGTATATAACCTGAAAATCCTATTAAGCATCATCTTCCTTTTTGCCTCCATCCCACCACATACAATTGTAAACTACTCCCTCTTTTAACCTTTTTTTTTTTTTTTTTAAAGATTTTATTTATTTGACAGAGAGAGACACAGCGAGAGAGGGAACACAAGCAGGGGCAGTGGGAGAGGGAGAAGCAGACTTCCTGCGGAGCAGGGAGCCCGATGTGGGACTCGACCCCAGGACCCTGGGATCATGACCTGAGCTGAAGGCAGACGCTTAACGACTGAGCCACCCAGGCGCCCCCTCTTTTAACTGTCTTAATGTCCTCATCTGCTAATTCAAACATCTGTGTCAATTCCAGGTCCGTTGTAATTATTTTTCATCTCATTATAGGTCCTATTTTCCTGTTTCTTTGTATACCAGATATTGTGAATTTTACCTTGTTGGGTGCTGGATAGTTCTGTATTTCTATGTTCTTGGGCTTTGTTTTAGAATTACATTTCTTGAAAAACAGTTTGATCCTTTCGTGCCATGCTTTTAAGATTTGCTAGGTGGGACCAGAATACACTCAGGTCTATTTAGTCTACAGCTAAATATTTCCCATTACTACAGCAAGACCATTCTGAGTATCTATGGCCCCCTAAATTATGAAGTTGTGGGAACAGGCACTATTCCTGACCTGTATAAGCAATTGGTAATATGTCCTCTAACCCATGTAGACAGTTCTCCCCCCAACCTCAAATAGTTTCTTCACATGCATGTGCTGACCAGTAAGTACTCTTCTGATAGTTGAGGGGGACCTTCTGCAGATGTCTGACATTCTCTCTTTGTGTAGCTCTCCCCTCTCTGGCATTTAATCTGGTAAACTCTTAGCTACTCTGGCCTCCCTGTACTCTCAGCAGTATCACCTCAACTCACGGAGTCTCCCAGGCTCCACTTCGGTTCTTGCTTCCTCCCCACAGTCTGGGACCTCTCAAGGTTATAAGCTGGGGCAATCATAGGGCTTATTACATTGTTCTTCATCTCTCAGGGATCACTGTTCTTCATTACCTAATATACACTGTGTTAAAAGCCACTGCTTCATATGCATTGTCCAGTCTTTTTGGTTCCAGGCAGAACAGTAAATAAGATCGCTGTTACCTCAACCTGGCTGGAAATGGAAGTCTATGCTTGAAAATTGTTTCCTCTTTTAATTTTAGTAGTTTGACTATTATGTGACTATATGTGGTTTTCATCATATTTATCCTGCTTAGGGTTCACTGTAAGTTGATGTCCATTCTCCATTTTTCAAAATTCTTAACCTTAGTCTCTTCACACATTGCTTCTACCTCATTCTCTCTCCTCTTATTCTGATTCTCAACTATGTGCATGTTTGACTTTTTCACCATGTTCTGCCATTTTCCTTATCTGTATTTTCAATCCATCTTCTCTCTGTGCTTAATTTGTTTACTTTCTACACACCAGCCTTCTGGTTCATTTACCTGCTATGTCTGATATGCTACTTAATCCATACGCTGAATTCCTAATATCAATTATATTTTTCAATCCTAGAATTTCCATTTAACTCTTACTGATTCCAGATTTCTGGTGAAATTCTCTATCTTTTCATCTATTTTCTTGGAAATATTATTTTTTTTATTTTTTTAAAAGATTTTATTTATTTGACAGAGAGAGACACAGCGAGAGAGGGAACACAAGCAGGGAGAGTGGGAGAGGGAGAAGCAGGCTTCCCGTGGAACAGGGAGCCCGATGTGGGGCTCAATCCCAGGACCCTGGGATCACGACCTGAGCTGAAGGCAGACGCTTAACGACTGAGCCACCCAGGCACGCCAGTTATAGTTATTTTAAATCCAAATCTAGTAACTATAATATCTAAATCACATATAAGTTGGTTTCTGTTACCTTTTTTCTTGTTATGTCTTGTAATTTTTTATTCAACACTAGATACTGCGTATTAAAAAGTATAAAGGTGGGGCGCCTGGGTGGCTCAGTTGGTTAAGCGACTGCCTTTGGCTCAGGTCATGATCCCACTCCTGGGATCGAGTCCCACATCTGGCTCCCTGCTCAGCAGGGAGACTGCTTCTCCCTCTTACCCTACCCCCTCTCATGCTTTCTCTATCTCATTCTCTCTCTCAAATAATAAATAAAATATTAAAAAAAAAAAAAGTTTAAAAAAAAAAAAAAGTATAAAGGTTCAGGATGTATTTTGTTCCTCCCAAGAAGGTTATGGTTTCTTCTATAAGACAGGCAGAATGCAAACTGATCTCCTCTGTTCTGCTTGAGGCTAACTTTAGGTCTTGTCCATTTCACTTTTTACCTTTACTCCTAGGGCCTGGTCCTGCTGTGGTTTCATCATAATGGCTGGGATGCTTATCAGAGCCACTTCACACCTTGGCAGCCCTGGAACGCTACCCTTTGTCTCCCTGGCCCTATGTTATTGCTGAAATCTTTGCTCACATTTTTAGTCTCCTGGCTTCTGCTAGATTTCCTGTGCACGTGTAAGATTTGGTATGTGTCTCAAGGAAAGAGTACGTCCAGGTTTTTGAGTTATTATTCTTATTATTCCCTCCTACCAGGGATTTAACTCAAGTTCGAGATTCTCAGGCAATCGTTAACCCAAACTCTGGCTACTCTGCCCAGCAGCACTGCTGCCTTTTGCTGGGACTCTACTTCTTGTGCTATGAACTGACAAATGCCTTTGGGAGAAAGCCAGAGTAAATATGGAGTTTCCTCATTATGCTTCCCTTCTCACAGGGATTGTGGCCCCTCAATCAAGTCTGGCCAGCATGGTTGCTACCAATTCCTTTAAATAGCTGTTTTATGTAGTTTGTCAAACTTTTATATTTGTTTTTGTGGGAGAGTCAGTCCAATATAAGCAATTCCATCATGGCTATAACTAGACGTCTCTAGATAGTGCATTTTTATCTGAGGTCAAAACAGCAATAAACTAGTAATGTTATTAAATTTTAAATGATTAAATGGAGCAATCTTTGCTCTTCTTAAAAACAATTTTTGAATCCTCAATTAGTAAGCAGAAATTTGAAAGTGATAATAAAGGTGCTCTGAATTAATTATATTTTATGATTCAGGTTACTGGGCAAACTCCATATCTGATTACATATTCTGAAAAATATAGTGAAGTGCTAATATTTTAAACTCTGTATTACAAAAACTTTCAAATTCATATAAAATCAGGTACCTGGTCATTTTAAAGCTTTATAATATTAGAAATTAAGATTATGTGATTAAAAAGAAACATCCAAACTAAAACCCCAGAAAATAAAAATAACTTTAGTAAAAATTAAGAAAGAAAAATAACATAACCATTTAATTTATTTATTAGTATAATAAGGCACTCTGAAGAACCCATCCTTTTCTAAATGTAAATAAAAGTTTATGCATGTATAAAGTTCAGATCGTCTTTTTAGAAAAAGTTCTCAACAATAAACCCAAACATGAATGAAGACCAAAACTTAACTAGAGAAAATAACTCACCAGAAATGCCTCCAACCAAGAAACTTAAAAAATAAGTGAGTCAATAATAAAGTACTGAAAAGGATTTAGATCTGCAATTACCTTCTAGTCCTATAGATGGCAGGTGCCATGGAGCTGGTACTGAGTGGTAGACGAGGAAACAAGCCAGCATGCTCAGCTGAGATTCCTCAAAGGGCTGCCCACTGAGGTAGGCGTGCACACACATATCACCCCCAGCTGTGAGAGAACACAAATGGAACTGAAGCAATTTATTTTCTCATCCAGAACTCATTAAGTACTTACCATACACCAGACAGGTACTATGCTGGGCATTAGGGCTACAGTGGTAAGCCAGACAGAGTGCCTGTCACCACAGAGTGTGAAGTGTTGTGAGGGACAGAGACGTTACACAAATAACGACACAAACAAATGCATAATTAGAAATTGTGATGAGTGCTATAAAGGGGTAGTGGTCACTGAGGTTGTCTCTCCAAATACCCATTTTACGACCCTTCTTCCCTGCAGTATATAACATTTGAGAGGACTGACTTCAGCTCCAGAACTGGATCCTGATTACTATTAGCCAGACTTTCTCAAACTTTAAGACATGTCAGAATCACCTAAGAGAGCTGATTAAATGATGGGTGGGCCCCATCGCCAGAGTTTTTTGGATGGGGTCAGAAAAATTACATTTCTAACAAGTTCTCAGGTGATGCTGCTGCTGCCCCAGAGACCACACTTTGAGAACCACTGTTCCAGGACAATCAAGGCAATCCCATTCTCAACACAGTGATTGGTTCAGAAACTGGCAGACCTATGCTATTCAGTAAGAGACATTCTCTGCCACAGGGACTGACTGAGGAATGTGCATGAGCTCCAATTCAAGCCAGAGACATGGGGAGATGTCTCTTTGCTAGAGGCTTCTAAGAAAGAAATTTCCTCACTATTATGGCAACACTCCTAGAAGCAACTCTATTCTTCCTCTGCAAAATGCTGAGCTTGAAGCAAGGAACAGCCACTTTATTACCATGAGAAAAAGCACTCTGAGGTTAAAGCCATGGCACAGAGTATAAATAATGGAACCTCACAGAAATAGAGCTGAAGACACTAAAATAAGATGACCCTTAGACCACCTTACCTATTCCAATAATGTAAGCTTATATGTGGTCCTTATTGTTTAAGCCAGGTTGAGTTAGGCCCTCTATTACTTGTAGACAAAGGCATTTTGATACATAAAGAAAAGTTGAGGGAGAGGAAGGGGGAAGGGAAGGGGAAAAGATAGGAAGGGAGGGAGGCAGAAAGAAATAAAAATAGCAGGGAAGTTGCCTGAAGTAGTGTGGTCTTGGAAGGCCTATGAGAAAGGGGCACTTAATTTGAGGCTGTAAGAATGAATATAAGTTGAGTAGACAGAGAATGAAAGAAAAAGGTTCTAGGGAGGGAAAGCAGCATATTTAACAGCCCCATGAGAGAAGGGAGAAGAGAAATTATAATTGATACCAAAAAAATACAATCATAAGAGACTACTATGAATAATTACACACCAACAAATGAGACCACCTAGAAGAAATGGATAAAGTTAAAGTCCTAGAAACACACGTCTTCTAAGACTGAAACATGAAGAAATAGAAAATCTGAATAGACTGATTACCAGTAAAGAGACTGAATTGGTAATCTAAAACCTCCCAAGAAGCAAAGTCCAGGATCAGATGGCTTCACTGGTGAATTCTACCAATCATTCAAAGAAAATTCAACCTGTATCTATCTTTCTCAAATTCTTCCCAAAAACTGGAGAAGAGAATGCTTTCAAACTCATTTTACAAGCATTAACCTAACACCAAAACCAGACAAGGACACCACAAAAAAAGAAAATTACAAACAACAAAATATTAGCAAACTGAATTCAACAATACATCAAAAGGGTTCCCCACCGTACCTCCGGCCAAGGTTTCAAAAGACCTCACCAAAATGCTATCTCAAATGGAACATGCCATGGAAACCACGATGTTCGTGTTCCACAAGTTTGGTGGGGATAAAGGCTATTTACCAAAGGAGGACCTGAGAGTACTCATGGAAAAGCAGTTCCCTGGATAGCTGGAAAATCAAAGAGACCCTCTGGCTGTGGACAAAATAATGAAGAACCTGGACCTGGACCAGTGCCGAAATGGGAAAATGGACTTCCAAAGGTTCTTTTCACTAATTGCTGGGCTCACCATTGCATGTAATGAGTATTTTGTAGTATACATGAAGCAGAATAGAAAAAAGTAGGAGGCATTGAGCAACATTCCTCCCTGATGAGAGTTCTCCCAAAGGGTCTCTTAAGGACTCTTAAGGGTCTCTTAAGGAATCTGCCCCACAGATCCGCCTGTATAAAGGATTGACTGAACAGATCAGGATCCTCAGAAAATGTACAAGTAAAATCCAACATTTGACAAGCAGAGAAAGAAAAGACAGTGAAAGCTAGATAAACTTTTGATTTTTATATTGCTTGCATCCTCTTGCCCTCAAAAAATAAATTATTTTTTAGTTCCTCAAAACAGCAACAATAACAACAAAACACAATACTTTAAAAGGATCACACACACCACAACCAAGTGGGATTTATTCCAGAAATGCAAAGATGGTTTAACATCTGCAAATCAAAGTGATACAGCACAATAACAAAACAAAGGATAATTAAGCAATTATTAATAAACTAAGAGGAAATCATTATTGCCCTATTCCAAATGTAGAATATTCTCATTTATTTTGATTTTTCTATGTTACTTTAAAACCGTTCATCTTTAAAACATTTTAAACATTACATCTAATGATAATCAATAAACTACTTCAAATAAAAAAAACAGGCTAAAAATAACATGATCATCTTAATAGATACAGAAAAAGCATTTAACAAAATTTAACATCCATTTATGATAAAAACACTCAACAAAGTGGATATAGAAGAAATGTACCTCAACATAAGATAATAAAGGCCATATATGACAAAGCCATAGTTAACATCATACTCAACTATAAATAGCTAACAGCTTTTCTTCTAAGACAAAGATGCCCACTCTTGCCACTTTAATTCAACATAGTAGAAGTCCTAGCCAAATAGTTGGTATCAGCATAAATGCACATACATCAATGGAACAGAACAGACAGCCCAGAAATAAACACACACATATAAGGTCAATTAATTTAGAACAAAGGAGTCAAGAATATACAATGGGGAAAGGACAGTCTCTTCAATAAATGGGGATGGGAAAATTGGACAGACACATGAAGAATGAAACTGGACCATCTTACACTATATACAAAAATAACTCAAAATGGATTAACGACCTGTGAGACCTGAAACCATAAAACCCCGAGAAGAAAACAAAGGCAAGTAAAGATCCTTGACATCATTCTTTGGTGTTGAATTTTTGGAACTGACTCCCAAAACAAAGGCAACAAAAGCAAAATTAAACAAGTTGGACTACGTAAAAAGCTTCTGCACAGCAAAGGAAACCAACAACAAAATGAAAAAGCAACGTACTAAATTAAAAAACAATCTGTAAATCATATATTCAATAAGGGGTTAATACCCAAAATATATTAAAAAACTCAAACTCAACAGAAAAAAAGATCCAATTAAAAAATGTGCAGGGAGGAGTGCCTGGGTAGCTCAGTTGGTTAAGCATCCAACTCTTGATTTTGGCTCAGGTCGTGACCTCAGGGTCAGGAGATTGAGCCCCATGTGGGGCTCCACACTCAGCAGGGAGTATGCTTAAGAGTCTCTCTCTCTCTCTCCCTCTGCCCCTCCCCCTACTCACATGCGCTCTCTCTCTAATATAAATCTTTTTTAAAAATGTGCAGGGAGGGGAACCTGGGTGGCTCAATCAGTTAAGCGTCTGCCTTCAGCTCAGGTCATGATCTCTGGGTCCTGGGATTGAGCCCCATATCGGGCTCCCTGCTCTGCAGGGAGTCTGCTTCTCCCTCTGCCTATTGCTCTCCCTGCTTGTGCTCTCTCTCTCTGTCAAATAATTAAATTAAAAAATCTTTAAAAAAAAAAAGTGCAGGGAATCCAAATAGACATTTTTTTCAAAGAAAGCATAAAGATGTCCAACAGACTCATGAAAGATGTTCACTATCACCAATTATCAGAGAAATGCAAATCAAAACCACAATGAGATATCACCTCACACTTGTTAGAATGGCTATTATTAAAAGGCAGGAAATAACAAGTATTGGGAGAGAATGTGGAGAAAAGGGAATTGTCTTGCACTGTTGTTGGGAATGCAAACTGGTGCAGCTGCTAGGAAAAACAGTACGGAGGTTCCTCAAAAAATTAAAAATCGATCTACCATATAATCCAGCAATTTCACTGCTGGATATTTATCCAAAGAAAACAAAAACACTAAACCAAAAAGATATTCAGTTAGTTGCAGCATCATTTACCACAGCCAAAATACGGAACAACTTAAGTGTCCATCAACGGATGAATGGATAAAGATATGGTATATATACACAATGGAATACTGTGCCATATAAACGAATGAAATCTTGCCATTTGCGATAACATGGATGGGCCTTGAGGGTATTATGCTAAGTGAGATAAGTCAGACAGAGAAAGACAAATACCGTATGATTTCGTGTGTATGTGGAACCTAAAATACAAAACTCATAGATACAGAGAACAGAGTGGTGGTTATCACAGCGGAAGGGGGCTAGAGGTAGATAAAAAGGGCGAAGGGAGTCAAATGTATGGTGATGGATGGTAACTGTAACTAGACTTACTATGGTGCTCACTTTGCTATATATACAAATATCAAATTATGATGATGTACACATGAAACTAATATAATGCATTATATTAAAACCAATGCAAAATTGGAATCAATTTTACCTCAATTTAAAAGTGATGGTTCTTCACTAAAAAATAAATGCATATTTTTGGCAATCACAGCAGCAAGTCAAATTTGGTAGAGAGCAATGTTGTAAACTACCAAATGCCCTAAAGAGCAATAAGAAAAAAAGTAATTCAGGGCACTATTACAGAGACTGCTGTAGTCACTGCCCAAGTTTCATTACTGATATGAAATGTGCAAATCAGAGACTCTGCAAAGGTTTAAGGACATACTTCTTACCAACAGCAAAGGTCTGCCATAGGCGATCAAATGCTGAACTGAATATAAGCGAAATATCAAAACCTATGTAATAATTTGTATTTTTCCCAGAAAATGAGAAAACAAATTTTTATAAACATTTTAAAACTACATAATCTTTCAAATTCTAAGAGAAAATGACAGAACAATGTAGTTGTTAATCAAACACTAGGAGTTTGAAATTGCTGTTTTCCATGTATACCTCTCACAATCTGGTTTAATTTTTTTTTTCAGAAATTTATTCCCTAATATTACAGTAGATAGTTTTTACCTTAATCATATTCAAATGCAGGTTCTACTGACTACTAACAGCCTTAAAACATCAAGAATTATTACTACTGCTATTCCTAGGGTTAGTATTTACCCCAAACAGGTTGCTTTCAGGTATGTTTGAAGAAAACAGAAACAGCAAGAAGTTCACTAAAACTCAATTTCAGACATACATCAAACATCAGACAGGTTTCCAAAAATCAAAAGTTCAGGTATGAACTGAAGAAAACAAAAAGAGCAAGAAGTTCACTAAAACTCAGTTTCAGACATACATCAAACATCAGACAGGTTTCCAAAAATCAAAAGGCCGATCATTTGCTTCATGTGAGGCACAATTACTTCTACACTATTAGGAGTAACTTCACAATTCCCCTGCAATCACAAGTCTGTACTTCCAAGCCATAGTCACATGATGTCCCAGGTTCCCACTGACTGACTCACAGAGCTGGTAAAACAAACATTCACTCTAAGCACACATCAAGTTTTCAGTGTACATAGCGCAAAGGTACAAAAACTGGGAAGAAAACAGCCGTTGACCTCAGGGGAAGGAAAGGAAAAATAAAATAAGATGAAAATAGAGAGGGAGACAACCATAAGAGATGCTTAACTCTAGGAAACATACTGAGGGTTCCTGGAGGGGAAGCGGGTGGGAGGATGGGGTAATTGGGTGATGGGCATCAAGGAGGGCACTTGATGTTATGAGCACTGGGTGTTATATATAACTGATGAATCACTGAATTCTACCCCTCAGACTAATAATACACTATATGTTAACTAAACTGAATTTAAAGAAATAAAAAAATAAAAAAGCACTGGGCACAATGCTATTATTACCTTGTAGCCACTGGTCCAGAGTATTATCAATAGTGCATTTTACAACAGGGAGGAACTCAGAGTTCATAAAGAGCCCCCGCTTAGGGTGGTTCTGTAGCCGCTCCTGGTGGCTCCTGGAGCTGAAAAACTCTAACACCAACTTTATCTGCCAAAGTTCAGATGTCTCAGACATTTCTCTTCTTCCTAGTCTTCTCATAGCCTTGAAGAGACAAAAGGAACAACAGTCCACTTAATGAAAGGAAGAGTGAAATTGCTCTAATGGTCTCTTCCTCAGAGCTGTATAATAGAGGATTTTTAAAATATGGCTCATATATCAATAAAGAGCAGAGGGAATCCATTCCATGTTTTGATGTAGTCAGCCCCACAGAGGAACCCTCCACTAGGTGCAGATACATGTCCACTCTCTTCAATATGGTCCCCACATAAACAGCTTTTGCAACAAACGCAAATGAGCTCATTCTTGGCTCAATGACTGAAAAATGAAGACCCACTAGGTCAACTGCCAGTCACCTCTGGGAAACCCAAGTGGAGTACAATGACATGGCCAGGGATCCCAGGAGTCAGAAGGCAAAACAATATTACTGATAATACTGCTCTTGGGACCCATCTGCAAAGTCACCATGGCTGCAACCAGCAGGGATGTCCTTTTGTAGACACCTGCCCATTTCAGTGAAGGGATAAAGATTCAGGCATAAAAAGGGAACACTTTCGGCCAACAAAAGAAAAACAACTCATTACTTGGCTGCTATATGGAGAGGCCCTGTGAAAAGCAATGTCAGTGTGGACGTCACATAATCATACTTTCCAATTAAAAAATGTGGATGGATACCAGACAATAATGCTATTCTGGGCCTATCCGGTTATATTAGAACTTGCCTTTTAATTAAGAATATTACTTAACAAAATGTGATTTTCAGGTTTTGAGGAATTCTCCCCTGCCTAAATGTCATTTTCCTACTTTTCAATAGAGATTATTTTGCCATTAGGAATTACTTCCTTTGGCTTTAGACACTGAGTCCCACATGCTTATCTGTGAACTCATCATGTCACATTCACTTAAAGAATTGTTTAAAATCACAGACCTGGAACTCATCTCAGAAATTCTGATTCAGGAGATGATACAGAATGGGATTTGAAGATCTGTATTTTTAAGATTCCTCATATAAATTTAAGCCAAGTTAGAAAACTACTGGCTTAGCTTAACTGCAATTTTGGGTCTGAAAGGTATGATACTACTAAAAAGTCGTATTTGTTTCTCAAATTCTTCATATCAGTGAGATCACATGATAATTGTCTTTCTCTGAAACAAGATGAAACCAGAGAGGGAAACAAACCATAAGAGACTCTTAATCTCAGGAAACAAACTAAGGGTTGCTGGAGTGGAGGGGGGTGGCCGGGTGATGGACATTGAAGAGGGTATGTGCTATGGTAAGCGCTGTGAATTGTGTAAGACTGATGAATCACAGATCTGTACCCCTGAAACAAATAATACATTATATGTTAATTAAAAAAAAAAGTCATATGTATTACTAATAACCTAAAGTGAATAAATTGGTCTGATCCTTTAGGGAAGCAGCTAAGCATCATTTTCTGCATTACCACTTTTAGGCTCTTTTAAAACAGTAATAACGCGAGAGAAATTTAAAAAATGAACTCAGAGGGGAAGGAGGTGGGGCGATGGGATAGCCCGGTGATGGGTATTAATGAGGGCACATGTTGTGATGAGCAGTGGGTGTTATATGCAACTAATGCATCACTGAACACTACATCAAAAACTAATGATGTACTATACGGTGGCTAACTGAACATAATAATAAATGATAAAACATAATAATAAAAAAATTGAACTCCAGCTTCCAAATCACTATATACTAATACTATAACCTCTTGCAAGCTTAATCACAGACATAATTTCACATTACTGCCATCACTAGGGCACTGTTTGTTCACTCACTGCTCATTTGCATACCTTTTCCATGAAGAGGCTTTGTCAGGAAGGAGGCAAGAGACCACTGGAGGATGCTAGGGGAGAAAGGGAGGGAACGTGCTCTTCCTCTGCTAGTCAAGGGAAAGGAAAAAAGGGGAGAATGGGAACCCTAGAGTAAGACAGCCCACCAGGGGGCATTCCTGTCATTATAAATTCTAAGCTTTTTTGTTATATATACAGCTTTCAAGTTTTATAAGGTTTCCTTTTCTGAATTTCTAAAAGCAAATGAGAAACCAAAAATATGGACACACAGGGAACCTTACCTCACTGTTCAGTATGTTATTTAAAATACACTAGAAATGTCACCAGAATTGGACTGTTTTTTGAACCATACCTGATCCATTGCTATGTATGCAGGCAACATCTCTGGGGTCTCCTGAGTAACACATTCATACAGTACTGAAGAAAACAGATCCAGAATTTCCTGTTTCTGTGGAAAATTAGAAACTTTTTGTAGCACATCAATGTATTTTCCAAAATGAATTCCACACTGTATAGCAACTACTATGGCCCATTCTTAAGCTCTACAGTCAATAATATATAAGGTAAAATAGCTATCTCTTTATGAAATCAGTGAATGTAACACTAAACATCAATAAAATATAATAAAATTAAGTCCCAAGGGACAGTTATGGATATAAGTGCTGTGAGGAGAGGAAGGATCAGCTGGGGTAAAATGGACAGACAGGACACCACAGAGATGTGCCTTGGGTTAGGCTGGCAAGAGCAAGATCCAGAAAGAAAACCCAGCATCTACAAAGATGCAGTACAAACACTGAGCAGAACAGGTATGGAGGAGACAGCACAACCAAATCCAGCTAGGCTTAAGGGCGGGCACGGACTTCATCAGAGACCTGCAGCCCTGAATGCATGCCCAGCCCTTACTAGCTGTGTGATCTTAGGCATGTGATATCTGAGTGGCAGTTTCCTCATCTGTAAACCTGGAATGATAAAGTACGTACCCTAAGAGTCAGAATCCAATAAGAAAATTAAATAAAATACTGAGCAAAATGTCTAAAAAACAGTCAAGATTCAGTAAGTTAAAGGGGTTACAATTGTCTCACTTAACCCTCAAAACAACAACATAAGGTAGGTTCTATCATAATCCTACTTCTAGAAACAAGGAAAATGCCTTTTGGAGAGCCTGAAAAATTTTGCTGGAGTTACACACACTTATAGGCAACAGACCATCAATCCCAGATACCAAATTCCTACAGCCAAGCTTTGGATTAAATAAAAGATCTGCTGGGCACCCTTTGAATCCTGAAGAGAACAACAGTTTTATGACCAATAGAAAAAAAGTTATAAAATGCAGAGGAAACAAATAATAAAATTATGTAAAAATAAGAGATAGTAAACACTGAAAATATCAATCAGTACAAGAATGCACATAAGAAAATATCACTTACTGAAATTAACATCTTAGAAATTTTAAGTTGTTTCTTCTATCAAGGTAGGGAGTTACTGAATATAATAGTTTTAGACTATGAAAAATCTGTATTTGTCAAGCAAAAATCATCCAATGTACCCAAGGCATGTCATCAACCTCAAAGATAGGTATGGATATTACAGGGTTTTTTGGGGGTGTCCACAGATAAATATAAGAACAAATTGTAGTCTGGCAGCTGAGCAAAACATACAGGTATGATACATACCTGACCCATATTCACAGTTGGTTTACAGAAATATTCAGCAAATGACAGAAGTGCTGGATCAGAAGTGAATGCTGAAATTGTTTCTGGCTAAAAAAATAAACAAAAGCAACAAATATAAGTGAGATATTAGAAGTTATTTTCCTTACTGCTCAAATTGTAGTATATGCAGTTGTAAGAAATCTACCTCACTGTTTTCACACAATGTTCCCATAAAGCCCAAGGCTGTATAAACTTGCTAGAGCTTCACCAACCTGTTCTGCTGAGAAGTTACAGGACACTTTTTGGCAAACATGAGCTACTGATTTATAAAAAGGCCAATAATAAATAGGTCTTGCTTACACAACTTGCCCCCGAATGGCTTTCACCTCTCCCTCATTAACTAACTGAAAAACAATTAAGAAACTAGAACTGCTACTGAAAAGGTAAGAAAAAAAGACTACCACTCAAATAAGCCACTCACTAAAAGGTAAATACTGTATGATTCCACTTATATGAGGATCCTAGAATAATCAAATTCAGAAACAGAAAGCAGAATGGTGGGCACCTGGGGCTGTGAGGAAGGAGGAACAGGAGTTGCTATTGAATGGGTACAGAGGTTCAGTTTTATAAGATCAAAGAGTCCTACAGATGGATGGTGGTGATGACTGCACAATATAAATGAACTTAATGTCACTGAACTATACACTTAAAAAGGGTTACAACAGCAAACTTTGTGTATTTTACCGCAATAAAAAAAATTGGGGGAAAAAAAGATTAACACTCAAGGTTCGAGAAAATGGAACATGGAATATATGTAATACAAAAGTATTACCATTTTCCACTGAGGTTTATATTTTACTTCTGAATTCCCTTGATGCAGGATGTGATCCTGCATTTAAGACATTAAGATCCTGCATTAAGACACCCCAATTGGGGTGTCTTAAATCTTTATGTAATTTCCCAATTCAAAATCAAGTATAAACTTCTCTATTTTCTTTACAAATTAGATTTAGGGTCTTTGAGATGGGCTCTAATTTATACAAGCAATGATACTTAAGTTAAACCATATCCAAAAGTTCTTCAAAACTATTTCATAGACATCCTATCAAATACTGCCAAACAAAATTCACTGATGTCAACTACATCTATTTAAACCCCGGGAACGAATATAAAGGCTCAGTCATAAGTAATTGGTCTAAAATGAAATGAGTTAAATTAAAATAAATGCTATCTCCTTATGTGGAAAAACAAAAGGTGCTAATTCAGTCCGCTGGCCACCACTTAGCCAGTCCACCGGCAACATTTTTGCCTCTACCACCACCCTCTAGAGGTCCTGACCACTTTACACTGCCACTCGATGTATCTTCAGCAGAAACACATTTGCACATGGAATTCCTGAAAACTGTACTTAAACTGAGAAATTTTAATGTTAGTTTATGGAACATATTTCTAGTGTGGGAAACTTATTTGAGTTCTAAAGTGTGGAGTAAAATATGTACTGACCGCAATAGAAATGAGATTGTTTCATTACACTCTTACTTTAAGTACTTTTTCATTCAAAATACTCTTGAATTAGCAGTCAAGTACTATGAGGATAATAAAGCAAACTGAGAAAAAATAAATCTGTCATCATTTTATCCTCACCAAGATTTAACCAACAAATGGGGGGTTTAAAAAAGAAACTAATTAGTGCTACCTTGTAAAAATCTTCTTCTATTTCTGCCATGAATTAAGCAAATCTTAACAGATTTGAAGATTAGTAAGTAAAATTATTAAACTAAATGTTTTTACAATGTTAAGCTATATTGTCCCTACTGCTAAATGTAAGTCATCCTTAGAGTCCTGGCAGATGGCCCGTATTTTATTATAGTTGCTACCTAAAACAAGAAACAGATCCAAGGTTATTCAGTCTTTATAATTTGCAGTGATGAGAGAGCAGATTCACCTAAATGGTACCATGAATGTTATCACAGAAGTACACGCTTTGGATGGGCTAGTGGGATTTGTAATTATTCCACCTCATCCTTCAGTTTTTAACCAATCAATACTACCTTGAAAGCCCGAGCTTCAGAGTTCCTGTTGGCCACAGTCTGGGCCAACAAACTTTGCCACCCCATTGGATCTTCCTTATAGGAGAGCTGACCTGCTCTGAGCTTAACATACAGAACTCCATCCTTAGAAAGGATTGATCTGAAAAAAAGCAAGAATGAATTTTATGTGAGGTGTTATTTGTAGTTCTCGGCTGGAAACACAGTGTCTCCCAACAGTGTGTTCACATGAGATGAAGTCTTTATCATTTTCCAGTAGGGTATATTATTATTTACTGTGTCTAAAACTAAATCAGTCCCTATGAGAAAGCCAAAATAAAGTTCTACTTTTCTTTGGTGTCTAGGTTCACAGAACTTAGTTAAGTAAAAAGGTGCTCTGCCTGCTCAAGTGTGTGCTTCAAAGGCTTTTATCTAACACTTTTTCATATTCCTTTTATCCTCTATCCACTGGAGGTACTAAGTATCTTTTGATTGGTTTGCAGCAGAAAAAAAATAATGTTGCAAATAACAATATAGAAAACAGCTATCATATAGATAGTTTAAGGGAAATATAAACTGGGACCAAACTATAAAAATTCTTATGTGATTGTTAAACTTTCTAGAAATTTAAAGACTTAATTTACACACTACTCAAGGCATAAAATTAAGACTCTGTTCATGAATTACTTACATATGACTATTTCCACCCAAAAGCAATCTATCATAATCTTAATTTTATAAGAACAATTTGACGAAACAATGATAAAAAGATACAAAGATGTGGTCTGACAAACATCATTTGTTATAAAGTTCTCTTTGTAGACAGACATACATGCCAGCCTTATTCCCCCCACTTTTTTAAAGATTTTGTTCATTGATTTGACACACACACACACACACACACACACAGAGACAGAGCGCACAAGCAGGGGAAGCAGCAGGCAGAGGGAGAGAGAGAGAGAAGCAGGCTTCCCACTGAGCAGGGAGCCCAACACGGAGCCTGATCCCAGGACCCTGAGATCATGACCTGAGCTGAAGGCAGACACTTAACCAACTGAGCCACCCAGGCTCCCCACAGCCTTACTTTCTTACACTGATTTTCATTACTGCTCCAACAGATAATTCCATTACTGTACCAACTTAGATCACTACAAGTTTTTCAATGAATAAATATAACTATTAGGGTTTGTCTTCTAAACTAAAACTCAGGCACCGGGTGGCTCAGTTAGTTAAGCATCTGCCTTCGGCCTGAGTCGCGATCCCAGGGTCCTGTGATCGAGCCCCACATCGGGCTCCTTCCTCAGCGGGGAGCCTGCTTCTCCTTCTGCCTGCTGCTCCCCCTGCTTGTACTTGCTCTCTCCCTGCTCCCACCCCATGTCAAATAAATAAATATTAAAAAAAAAAAAACTAAAACTCATTTTCTAATACAAACTCCGTTTCAAAGTTACAGACCACTTTATTCAATATATACTCTACTGTCCTGTATGAGATCAAAGGATGACAAGGAACCATTCTAGATAATAATCTGCAACTTCTACCTTCCCATATACTTCTATTCACTTCACAGATACATCTAAGAAATTCAGTATACTCACTTCAAGTGTTGTGTTCCCTTGCTTAAATCTATGAGCAGTTCCCAGTATCGTGGGCCTTTTACTTTAATCTGCCAAGATAAATGTGAACACAGTTGACTGAATGCTAAAAAAGTGCTAGTTTGACAAAATGAAACCCACGTTTCTCAGAGGAAATAAAAATAAATAGGCTGGAAAGAGACAATGAAAAGTTAACAAGCTTCATTTCTACATAAAAATGTACGTGAATCAAGTTCTACAGCCATCTAACCTCTCAGTAAAGATCGGCAAGTACAGACCTTCTCTGTTCCTCATGACAATTCCTCCTGGGGCTGCTTTCCTATTTCCTACAGATCACTGAGAAAGCACAGGCTTTTACTTAGCTACCTTTGATGCTATACTATCCTGGCTGAATTAACCTCTTGCACAGATCTCCCTAAATCACATCCCACTTACCTGCTTTAAGAGGTGGAGTTCTGGAAGAAGGGTAGGAGCCATCAATTCTTCTTTGGTTTGTTCATACCACTGAGTACCCTTTACAAATATAAAAGAACAGCCACAATTCACTATGTAGTTAGGGGAAGCTACAAAGAAGTATCTCCACTCTGTACTTCTCTCTCCCCACAGTTTCTACACAGGTGGTCAAATGGCATTAAATGCTCTCTGGTATCAAGTCTTAACAGCAAAGTCTACAATCCTTTGCAGGGCCTGCATCTTCTTACACCACCTCACACACTAGCAGCACAGATCTGTACTTCTGAGGCCTCTGGATTTTTGCACATATCATGTTCTGGAAATGTGCCTCTGCTCAGCTGGCAAATCTCAGCCCAAACATTGTGTCTACCATGACCACTTCCCCAACCCTCAATAGCTGAAGGGGGCATTTCTCCTCAGTTCCCCTGCATTCTCCACATACCCCCACACTCTATTCTGACTGCACCCATGCCTGGCTACCCAATGGACAGGAGTCCTTAAGGAATACAATGATGTAATTTTTATACCCCACCCAGAGCCTTTCCGTAGTTCCGATGCACAGAGGGTACTTAATAATATTCTGAATGAAGGATACATGACTTACAATCTGTACATCAAAATCAAGGATCTCTCATCAAATACATGATCTTAAAGCACTCTGCACACAAATCTAGGAATAGTTCTAACTCAACTCATTCTTTAGAACACTTTAGTGAACAAGGACATTTTCAAACTATAGGCTCTAGGGACAAAAGAGCAGCTCGTGACTTCTACAATATTACCCTCATAAACTACAAATGAGCCCAAATGGCCTGGCAGGATATACAAGAACTTTAGAAATTTCAATTTTTATAAGAGATTAATTCGCTCTGTCGTCTTTTAAAGGACAACATTTTTAAAATATTTTGACGTGCAAAGATGTATGAGCGGTAACAAAATTGCAAATAAATGAGAGGAGGAAAGAATTACCTTATAGGTAACTTCTAAAAGGGCATAGCAGGGCATGTTTGTGTCCACATCCACAGGCACTAGAAGCCTTGGTTCTGCAGCCAGCACATACAGGTGCCGCAGAGCCTGGAGATGATACCTGTTCACAGAAAACACAGAGAGGAGGTAACAAGCCGGTGCCGACAGCGTGAGCTCCACAACCACGACAGAAGCTGGGGTTGCTATCTTCCCATGACAGCAATCCTGAAGGAAGATGATGAGATTCAACTAAAAACTGACGGAGAGATTCTCTTTAAAAAATTATAGACACATGATCCTTGACTCAAGAATTCATTACTTGCATTTTCACAGTTAAGAGGTTTTATAGATGAGGTAAAAATTATCTTAACATGAAAATATTTACTGATAAATTCAACACTTATAAAATCAGTTCTCAAATAATCCTTCAATGCCCCACCTTTTTACCTTCCAAGGGACTTATTTCTATTCTTTGTTTTTCTGGCTTAAGGGTTGGTAGGGAGAAGGAAAGCTCTTCTACATATGCATCCCTGTACACAAATACACACACACACCTGGGATCTAGGACACCGAAAACTAATGGGGGAGATTATGAAGTTTTTCTTTCTGTGTGTGTGCTTTTCTGGGTTTTCAAAAACAAAATTTTTTTAACTTTAAAATTTATATTTTAGCATTTAGACACAAAAAGTTTTTACATTTTAAGATGCCATTTTTAGCTATTCAAATTTTTCTTTTTAAATTTTAGTTACAGCAATAGCCCCCTCTTCCCACCCAAACCTACCCTTTCCTATAAATTAATTAGAATTAAAAGCAGAGGGGGACTCCTGCTGCTGAACTCTGGGTGCAAGTAAGTGGGGCCTACTGAGAATAGGAATCCTAAAATGACCAATGTGTCTAGAAGGCTGTGTTCCAAGGCTATTTTTGCTGGCTATAAGCAGGGTCTCCAGAACCAGAGGAGCACACAGCTCTCCTTAAAATTGAAAGTGTTCATGCTTGAAATGAAACTGAATTCTATCTAGGCAAGAGATATGCTTAGATATACAAAGCAAAGAATGACACAGTGACTCCTGGTGGCAAACTGAACAAAACCAGAGTAATCTGAGAAAAAGTAACTAATGCTCATGGAAACAGTGGCATGGTTCATGCCAAATTCCAAAGCAACCTTCCTGCTAAAGCCACTGGCCACAGAATCTGTGTGATGTTGTACCCCTCAAGGATTTAACCTTACTGATAGATAGATAAATAAATAAATAAATAAATAAATAAATGTGTAGATCTGTTCCTGTTTAAAAAAAAAATTAAAAGCAATCAAGGCCAGAAAAAAAAAAGATACTTATCAGTTACATAAAGGTTCTTGGTGCTCACGAAATTAGTTTATTTAAAATAGCTAAATCAAATGATTCTCCCAGCAATATCAAAGTGTGGCTCTTTGTTGTACCCTAACCACTAATTACTGACTTTAACAACTCAAAATCTCTTTCCTAAACTGACAAGCAAGAGACCACTTGTAAGAGTTGCATTAATTTAAGAAGAATATGCTTGTGCTCCATCTATCATCAGAGTTTGGATGTCAAATCAGGCCACTTTTATAAAAGAGCTAACTTTCGTTTATTATTACTATTTTAAACTACATTACACCAGAGCATGACAGCTTAGTTACTCTGTTACTGCTCCATCTCTTGATGCTTCTCTTGAGAGATGAGTTGAACACACTGGTCACCTCGGATGTCACGGAAACATAAGGAGCTATTTTCTCCCCCTCCTCCACATGCAGCAGGAATCAGCTCTGCCTGAAACTGCTGGGGAGACCGCAGCGCTGATGGTTGTTTGTGCTCTCAAATGCAGAGCTTCTATACAATCACACCTTTCCTATGTGTTTGAGGTTCTAGGGCTCACTGCCACTTCTAAGTTGTCTCTGATTCTTTGCTGCATTTTGCTTTTCGTGTCCCTTTTATTTCATTTATACAAAACTTCTCAGCATTTATGTAAAAGAGGGAAAAAGGGAATTCATATAGATACTGCCACTAAATCAGATCAATTTCTCTCTTAGAATTAAACAGTTATAGTATAAAACATACCATCTTGCTTCTGTTGGCTACTATCTTTGGTTTGATGAATTTTTCCCTAAAGATAACCCTGTATGGCCCACTTCTGGGTTCACAGCAGTTCTACTGATTAAAAAATGGTGGAAGACTGATCCATCAGTTCATCAGATGTTCAAAGTTCTCTTTTGGTCTAATACTTAGACATTTTAAAAGATTTAGTCAGGAAGATAACTTAGTCCAAGAAGAGAATAAACTAATTTGGAAATGAATCTATGGAACCAAATCATCATCAAATTACCCCTTGGAGACCTTACGAAAGATCACATTGAAGACAGAATCACTAGACTCACCGGTTATCAGTGCTGTGAGCCGGGAAGTGCGGGTAAAGGGCACAGAGGAGAGCTGCAATGGAAGAGTTTGACGTACTCAAAGAGTACCTGTGAAACAAATGCAGGAGGGTAAGACGTTATTATACTATGCAAACCTCCAAGGCCTTCTTGAGAATCAGGAAATTGGAGAACTGTGGCAAGGGCCCACTGATGAAATGCCTTGATAGATACAAGTGTGTCGACACTATCAACGTGTCACTTTTCAGTGAGTCTTTAAGCCATTTCAAGATCATCTACTAATGAAAGCAGAAGCAACATCTCACAGATACTAACTTCCAAAACCTGAATTAATAAACATGGTTTTTTAACCGAAAATATCACAGTAGTGAGGACCATGAATGCAATCCTAGAGATTACAGATATTGACAAAGTCATGTATGAAGGACACCACTTCTCCAGTTCTATACATACCTCCTTAGACAATAACAACCCTCACTTCTAAAAATACAGGGTTTGTAACTGGGTGTATCTCAAACCTTTTTCTGTTTCTGTAAAGTCTGAGCATTTCCTTAAAATGATGGACTAAATGAAAAAGGTGTAAGTTATCATAAAAAGTTACAATGAATGTATAAACAACTATTCCTCCAAGTACAAATAGCTTTTTTTCTTATCAATGTGATAAACTAATTTTTATAAAGGCCACACACTTTTTTTTTAAGATTTTATTTATTTATTTGACAGAGAGAGACACAGCAAGGGAGGGAACACAAACGGGGAGTGGGAGAGGGAGAAGCAGACTCCCCGCCGAGCAGGGAGCCCGATGTGGGGCTTGATACTCTTAATAAAATCTTTTGAGATTTTCCTTATATTATTTTACTGTTGCTCAAACTCTGCATGGCAAACAAGCAGATTACTCTAAAGTTCTAACGTTTTTCTTACAAATATTTTGAAATAAAAATGGTACCAGACATCACATAAAACCATTGTTGCAGATAACTAATATAGATATATATTTTATTATATACATTAACATGCACACACACACATACATATCCCCAAGTCTTTATCTATTTTAATAATTAAGGTATCAAGTAAGAACTTAGCATTTATCATATATACACATATTTAAGGAATTAGGAAGAAGAGATTTCAAAATTTATGTAAGGAAATATATCTATTTTCACATGTGCATAAAATAGGCCATTGTCTCTTTACCATTTCGACAAAACCAAAATCCAAAGATAAACGTTAGATATTAATGTTAGAAATTTTGAGATTAAACATAGGATATGGTTATGCAATCAGAAATTTAAATGTTGTCACAGAGTACACATAACCATTCAAAGACCAGGAATCATTAGAAAAGCAGAGCAGAGTGGGAGAAAATCTACTCAATATGAAAGCAGAGGAAATATGTTCAGTGTAAAACAATGAAAAATAAGATTGCATAAGACTGAGTATACTGGAATTGAAATTTTTAAAAAAATGAGTAAGAGAACAAGAGAGATGCAGGCATTTATTTGGAAAGGAAAATAAGTTTTCAAAAATAAGTAAGAAGAATTTTCATAGTAAGATTTCTTTAACCATTCTTAATTCTAAACAATTAAAGAAAGAACAATTTGGGGTGCCTGGGTGGCTCAGTCATTAAGCATCTACCTTCGGTTCAGGTCATGATCCCAGGGTCCTGGAATCAAGCCTCGCATTGGGCTCCCTGCTCAGCGGGAAGCTTGCTTCTCCCTCTCCCACTCCCCCTGCTTGTGTTCCCCCTCTCACTGTCTCTCTATCAAAATAAATAAATAAAATATTGAAAGAAAGAAAGAACAATTGTACAAAACCTGTTAAAAGAGAAAGCACACCTTTCTGATAATCTTTACTTTTTATACTTCTAGAAAGGTGAGCTCCAATATTTAATTCAGTCTTACAGAAGAGAAGAAAATAAACCTATATGACTTGTAGAAATTCTATCAGTTGACCAAGGTCACATAAACTAAAGCTAAATAAATGAAACAATACACCATATTCACAGATTGAAAGACTCAATATTATAACAGATTTCAATTCCTCCCAAACCAATATATAGACTGAATGCAATTCTGATCAGTATTTTATCAGATCATTTAGTGTGGAAAATCATAAACAAATTCCAATTTTTACACAAAAATTCAAGGAGCCAAGAACAGAAAAACACACTTTTGAAGAAGAAATCCCAGTCTGGAAGATTTATTCTACCTGACATCAAGACTGATTATAAAGCTACTATTATTAAGGCTGTGGTATTGTGTAAGTATAGAAAAATAGACCAGCTGAACAGAATGGCCCAGAAATAAATGTATGTATATGGACACTTAATTTATACTAAAAATGGTATTGCAGAACACTGGAGAAAAGATAAACTTTTCAATAATAGTGGGGCATCAATTATCAAAAACTCATACAGAAATATCAGGTACAGGTAGATTTCATATCCAAATGTGAATGCAAAAGCTAAAACACTTGTAGAAAATAAAGAGAGTATTTTCATTTGGGGGAGAGGGGTAAGGAAATATTTCATCAGAAGGACAAAAAAGTACAAACCATAAAAGAAAAATGTTAATAACTTTGTTCATCAAAAGACACCATTAAGAGAGTTAAAAGGTGAGCCACACAGCAGGAGAAGGTGAGTACAACACATAAGAGTGACAAAGGGTTCAGGATCATAATGATAAACCAATACAGAATAGTAGGATGAATAGAAACGGAGAGTAGAACAGAGGCTGTCAGGGGCTGGGGGAAGGGGGCAAGAAGGAGCTGTTGTTTAAAGGGGACAGAACTTCAATTCTGCAAGGTGAAAAAGTTCTGGAGATTGGTGAATACACTTACTACTACTGAACTGCACATTCAGAGATGATTAAGACGATAAATTTTATGTTATGTGTATATTACCACAAATAAAATGTTTACATAAATAAGCCAATACGAAAATGGGTAGCAGGAGACATAGACATCACAAAAGGAGATTTCCAGTTAGCCATTAAGGATATAAAAGGTGCTAAATATCATTATTCAGAGAAATGGAAACTAAAACCACAACTACTACCAGATGGCAAAATTAAAAAGACTAACAATAAAACAAGTGTTGAGAAGGATGGGGAGCAACTGGAACAGCATACAACACTGATGGGTATATTTGGAGCACTGACGGCATTATCTACAGAAGTTAAGCATACATACACACTCATAGGTCCACACATAGATCTATATGTAACAAAATCAAAGACATGTACAAGAATATTCATAACAGCCCCAAACTAGAAACAACACATCCATCATGAGCAGAGTAGATCGATAACTGTGGTATAATCATACAATGGAATTCAACAGCAAGAAATAGATCATTGCTACATGCAACACAGATGAATCTCACAATGTTGAGCTAAAGAAGTACAGTTGACCCCTGAACAATGTGAGGGTTAGAGGTACCAATCACCCTGCACAGTCAAAAGTCTATGAATAACTTATAACTTCCCCAAAGCTTAAATAATAGCCTACTGTTGACTGGAAGCTTTACCGATAACATAAACAGTAGATAAATCTAACACATATTTTGTATGTTATATGTACTATATGGTGTACTTTTACAATAAAGTAAGCTACACAAAAGGAAATACTAGGAAAATTAAGGAAAACAAAATATATTTACAGGACTGTACTGTGTTTGACCAAAACAACAGTGTGTAAATGAACCTGCACAGTTCAAACCATGCTGGTCAAGGGTCAACTGTAAGTATGAAATAATACACAGTGTATGATTCCATTTGAATTTCAAAAACAGGCAAAGCCAGTCCAAGGAGTTAGGAGACTAAATAGTGATTATCTTTGGGTAGAAGTGAAGTAATAGTTAACAGGAGAGGCATAGCAGGGGTAGAGACAGGTATTCTGAGTTCTATCTTATCTACATGGTAGTCTACGGGGAAGTCTTATAAAAAGATGAGGTGGTCAGGAATGACAGATGCTGGAAAGAGAGCAAAGAAGGGGAAAACTAAGAAACTCTCAGGACTTGATGACCAATACTGTTCATAACCTTTATGAGAGGGTAGTTCAGTAGGAGGTCAAAGTCATTAAACAGTGGGGAACAAGAGGTGATACACTGAGGAACTGAGTACCGACTCTTCTGCAAATATGCAGCAAGGATGGTAACTCTACCAAGTAAGGCATAAATTGATGGCTAAACTTAAAAAAAAAAAAAAGCCTTTTAAAGTGTAACAATGCTCCTCGATATGCTAATAGATAGGCAGGACCAAAATTTTCAAGTATCTTCAAAACCAAAATAAATCACTCTTCTAGATCTTGTTCATGAGATCGTTTCACTAAACAGAAAATATATACTCATTTACCTTCCTCCTCCCAGAAAGAGAAGTCCAAGGGCCATGTGATGGGCTAAGTGGAAACCATAGTTCATCTCACCACCTGTTTTCATGTGTAAGAAGCGACAAAGCTGCAAAACCTTTAGGTTCCCCGAGCCGGCCATTACCATGGCAAGAGAGAGCAGCACCACACTCAGGCACGTTTCCAGGTTGTACGGACCTGTCTGGAAATGTGAAAAGAGGACATGCTACAACTGCAGTATTAGACTACAAATACAGCTTTAAAAAATCTGTAAAAACAAAAATTTTCTCTGATTATGATATTTAAGTTATGTAGAAAATTCAGAAAATAAATATCAAAAGGAAATTAACAATTCCTTGGAATACTAACACCCAAAGAGAACTGCCATAAATATTTTGGCCTTTCCCTAAATCTTTTCCTGTATCTTATGAATTTTTTTTCAAATGAAATTGAGATATTATTATACATGATATTTTTTTTAATAATTTTTTTATTGTTATGTTAACCACCATACATTACATCATTAGTTTTTGATGCAGTGTTCCATGATTCATTGTTTGTG